CGGGGTCCGGGCGGCGCCGCGCGGCCAGGAGCGCCCCAGGAGAGTCGCGGGCCCCCCCCGAGGCCGGCGCTGTCCCTCCGGCTGCCGGCAGAAGAGGTTTCTCGAGTGCCCGGCAGCCGCACCCCGAACTTGGAGCCGAGAACGTGCACAACAGGCACCCTAAGCGGGGGCTGCGCCGGGGAGGGAGCAGTGTCGCCCGAGGAGGGCTTTTTCCTCGAAAGACAGTGGTGGGCAGCGGAGGACCTCGAAAGGGGGTACGCCAGTGGCCTGGGCCCTGGCACCCTCGAGAGGCTGGACCGGTCAGCCCGTAGCTGGCGCCCCCCCTCCGGCGCGGTGGCCACGGAGTCTGTTGTGAGTTGCTGTGACAACAGGAGCTGCCGTGAGGGGCTTGCACACACTTCCCTGTCTGTGTGCCAGCTTTGTGGGGGGGGGGGTCGGGGGGGCAGGAAAATGCAATGTCCTCCGCCCCCTCCCCAATAGAAGTGGGAGGGAGGCACAACTATGTAAGAATATATCATTAGCTCCCACTGTTAGCCGCTCAGTTTCCATCCCCAGCAGTATGAAACATCTCAGCCGAGGAGCAATGTCAATATTTAGACTTGGACAAGCTAGAAAGTTAGAAGGGAGCGTCAAGCGCACGGTTTGGACTTGGCTTTGCGCGTCAGCACACAAGCTGTGCCTTTGGAGCTGACTGTACACATTTGCTGGGGGTGGGGGGATCATGAAGGTTGACAGACACAGAGGCGCCCAGATGGAGGAAGCTCTAGGAAGTTAAGGGAAGTCTCCTGGCTGAACTCCTGTTGGGCAGCCCTGTTGAACTTCAGCCATAAGTTCAGCTAGAGGTTCTTTTGGTTTGGGGGTCCCCACCCTAAACCGGGGGTGTGCAACTGGGGCCGTGCGCCACGTCCTACAGAAAGCATCTGCTAAACTGCAAAGTCAGTACTGAGTTATCCGTGGTTTTCACCTCTGTAAAGACCTCTCAGTCTCAGCAAATAGTGAAAAGTCAACGGGCCGATGAAGGTATTTACAAGATGCCTAAGAGAGGCAGTGGTTGCTAGAAAACAAACAGAAGTTCTTTTCAGTATAAATAACATCTGCATACTGCTCTGCAGGTGGAGTGGGCAGTAAATTATTATATTAAACAAGGTTTCCTCTGAGATACCTGGATCATATTTGGACATGCTAATGGAAAAGACTTTCAGCCAGTTGATCCCATATGGAAGGCTTTGAAAAATCATTAAGGAGCGGGAAAATCATGGTCAGTGTCCTTCCGAATGAATGTGCACTTTGTCATTTTCCAGATTTTGAAAGTAGTGTGCATTTTAAGTACACTGGGCTGTGTGTGTGAGTGAGGATGCAAACAAAAACACATAAAAGTTTGATGGCATTTGCTTAACAATACAACTTACTAGTTACACAAATATAATAGGAAAAATTGGAATTGTGTGGTCTTTCAGATACAATTATATTGTCTAAAAATGCTATTTTGGCTGAAAAGCATGCCCACTTCCGTGACTTCGGTGTTACAAAAGGCCTGTGACATTTTCATTGTTCCCATCCATCAGTTCAAGGCCAAATGCTTTTTTTTATATCCCAAAATGCTCAGGATTTTCGCAAGTGCTATGAAATGTTAACCTAGCTATTTCAAGATGTATTTGAACCAAAGAAATGTCATTTTTACACTGGCGCTTAGCAAAAGTAAAGCAGAGTTTGCCCATCCTTAGGGAGGCAACTTGTTGAAAATTGTAGTGACTCTGCATGTGCTGCTGACCAACAGTATTGATGAAGTATTTCTCTCTTTTGTGTAGGAAAGCCTAGCTGTGAGCAGAGTGTTCCCTTCTGCACTTCCAGAAAGACAGGTCAGTGTCTTTGTGCAAAGCCATGACAGCAGGTTGATGATACCCAGTGTCTCATTCTGAAGATGTGTTTCAGAACAAGTTTCATAGTTGGTGGTTAGAATTTTTGTTCTTTTTATGCTCAGTTAGGATCATCACAAGTTCAATATTATTGTTATTATTTTACTTACTCTGTGAGTAAAATGGTACCCAAAGGAAGCTTAGATCAGTTTATCCTTTGTAAGACTTCAATAATTCTGGGAATCAACATGGTGCAAGGCCGTTGAGGATCCTGGGGATCTGGGTGCTCGGGAATTGGGGTTTTACTTCTCTTTGAATCTTAGCACTGTGGAGGTGGAAGAGATTTGATATAATGATAGTTGAACTAAGATTCAGGTATTGTGCTATTCAGTATTCTGTAAATTTATGTCTTCATTCTGCCTCAAGAAAAGAAAGAAAAAACCTGTATGAGGTGAAACCACTTTCTTGGTCACCACACTGCAAGTGAAGAGTTGGAAGCTCAGAGAAAGTGTGTAATTCTGATGCCTAGTTGACGGCACAAATAGCACTTTTTAAAAATTCCTGTCTTATTCTAAGACATAAATTCCTACTTGGAAAATTTGGATACATAATAGATGCCTCCCCACCAAAGTCCTAGAAATTGCCAGTTTGTAAAGGTTAAGTAGAATATTTCAGTTTGTGTCTGAATTGATAACCCGCTCCTACCCTGTCTGCCCTTCTCCCTGGGTTTTTTTTTCTTAATAACTTGTAATAGTTATTAATCCTTCTTAGGGATTTTTATATAAGGGTAATAAAAATGAAATAAGGGAGCAGATTACTAAAAAACAAACCTTTAGATATCATCTTTTTAATGTACTGATTGCCTCAACTTAAGCTAATAGCTTTAAAAGCTTAATTAGCCAAGAGATATTTTTAAGCATTTAAGGGGTTGTTACAGACTGTCCTATAAAATCTCTGCCCTATACAGAGCTGTTATCCAGTGGATCATTACGGAACAGATCATATTCTGTAAGAGCACTGTTATTTTTGGGACAATTCCACTATAGGCCAAGCCCTTACGATCAAGTTATATATCATTAGTTGTGATAACAGTATGCCATAAAAATATGAATATGCCAACTATAAGCCTACAGTTTATTTAAAACAGTAAAATTATACTGTAAATTACATAATGTTAGAGCCAGAAGAAATCTTGCCATTAGCATAGTATCTCTAATAATAATCACTTAATTGGCAATCGATCACTTGTTTGCGTTTTTGAACTGCAGAAGGCTTTGTTTAATGTGCATGACTTATCTCTTTAAAAGTGGCTAGAGATACCTGAAATTTTGCTGGCTTTGCTTGGTAAATTTACCTGTAGGAGGCTGTAATTTTTTAAACCTTTCTATTGGTTTTTCCTTTAGAAAACAAATAGTTCAGTCTCCGTTTGGCTTCACATAATTGCGTTTATACAATATAGGGCATTTGAATTTGGTCTTGTGTTCACTTTCTCTTTTCCAATCAGACTTCCCACCAACCTCACATCACCAAAACCAGAAAAGAAAAAGGAAAACTAAATCACAAAAAGTGTACAGAAAAGGGGCAGGTAGTGAGAGAGTGCGTGCTTCGGACAGTGGGTGGGGCGAGAGCCAGTGAAAGGGATGGGATGTTTACCGATTGGTCATTTATTAGTCCTTTTTTGTTTATAAACAAAGCCACTGGCTCCTCTTCCTGGAGCCTTCTGTTTCTTATCCACACAAGACAGAAATTGGGAAATAAACCCACGGAAAATGAACGGTAGGCTTGACAGCCGTTCTTTCCAGATGTCCGGGACGACCCTGTCTTTGAATGCCCCCTCTGGTTCCGCCATCACATGCGTCAGCTGACCTCTCATCAGGTTTCATTTGCTAACGGGTGAATTAGCAAATTTTACAAAGAAAGAGATGCCAGGAGATCCAGAAGAAAGCAATGACATTTCTCTACTCTGCAACTGAGTTTACGCCTTGCATGGAGACAGGATAATAGCCAGTTCCCAGTATTAATGAGGTTATGGTCTGAGGCTTCTTTCCAAAACAGCTTGGGAAGGGTCAGAGTACGGGGCACTGTGTTTAGAAGAAAAGGCTCAACGCAATGGGAGATAAGTGCAGTTTCCCCTAGTGCCCACCATATCTTTATACTGCTGGAGTTCTCCTTATCATCCATTTCTGGATGTGCCTTTGCATTGTTTCCCAGCTGTAGACCAAACCCCTCATGAGCCCTGTGGTAACAACAACCAACATTTCTTACTCTCCTCTGATGCCAGACACGTTACTGCATTACAGCTAATATTCATTATCTGATACAATTGTACAGAAGCAAACATGGAACTCACGTTAAGCTAAAGGACTAATAGGAAGCAGAGCTTAGATTTGTACCCAAGCCTAAGAACTTGAATACTCATTTTGTGTGTGTGTGTGTGCACATGTGTTCTAAATAAGCTCTCAGAAAAGCTCACACTTTAAACCATTTCTTTTCAGGTTACCCTTGCAGATGACAAGTATAGAAATTAAATAATTGTTCTGTGGATGTGTTTTTTGACGATATATACAGAGCAGTCTTGCCCTGGACAAACGTGTTAAATCTTGAGATTATTTCTAATGTGTTTTGATGAAATTCGGTCTTAAACAGTTGAATCAGTGAAGCTGAATCATGGAGCTAGGAAAGTCCTTAATGGTACTTGGTTCAACCTCATGAAGATAATAAAATACTGGAACCCAGGGAACCATGTAACTTGACCACTCTCATAGTTAATAACTGACATCGCCTGAACTGAACCCAGGTTTCCAAATCCCAGCCAGGGCTCAGATCTGTTACATAACACTCTCTGAAGAGTGCCAAGTCTTCTAAACCCTCCAAATTAGCCACAATTACAGCTAGCAAGTCCAAAATATATCTGTTACCAAAACCATACCCAGGAAGGAGTGATAAGAGGATTCCAGCAACATGAAGCTATTCTATTAGGGGAGACTTCACTTATGTTCACCAGTGACAAGGCAGAACAATCCTCTTCTACAGAATACGCACTTTGATCCCTCCCCAGCTGTCTCAGTTAAGTGATCTGCTGGGAGCTTTTTAATATTGTTTGAGCTCTGCTTTTTATTAGCTGTGTGTCTTGGGTAAAATACTTCTTTGGATCTCACTTCCCTCATCTGTAAGTGGAAAAAGTATTGCCTCCCTCCAAAGATTATGAGGTTATGAAATCACCTTGGAAGCACATAGTAGGTGCTCAGTAAAGGTTAGTTCTTTATTTGCCTTCAGAGTATCTCAAAGGAAAAAAATTTACCATGTCTGGGGAGTCATAACATGTTTTAGTGGAGTCACTGGGTTCCGCTACTGGAGGGATGGTTGTAGGAATGTTTTCCCTTGGGTTGCTCTGGGTACCAGCAGCCCAGCATAATTCCACTTGTTTTCCTCACCCTCTAGGGTGGCCATGGTTTACTTCAGTTATTCTGTTGCTTTCGTTCTTGCGCACAGGTCCTCTTGGAGATCTGTGTCCCTCACTTTCTTGTGGACACTGCTTAAGCCTCCCAACATGTTTTTCACATAGAGCTTTACATTTCAAAGCAACAGTATGGAGTACTGGGGGGATGCTGTCTTGTCTTTGTGTCATGTGTTGCGGACTGATGTTGATAGGAAAAGCATAAACACTACAATTTCCCCCTTCGCCCTCAGTACTTGATAACTACCGTGGCCTAAATTACACCTCTGGGAAGTGTTTCATCACACTCCTCTCCCCAGCTGCTGTGCTTTGTCATGTGGCACTCGCTGCCCTGCTCCGGACTTTTGGAACAAGTCTTTGGCAGCCCTTCCTGTTCATCACAGATACAGAGGAAAGCTACTGTTGTGGTGGGTTTTTTTCTCACTTGCACCTGTTTTTTCTTTCTATTAATAACAAGTGGCTTTGAGCAGACTTTATTCTCCTGCTGGCACAGTTTCCCTTTCAGCATTTGCTACATATACATTACAGAACATATGTCCTTTTCTTTGAGTTTAGGAGTATCCATTGTATGTTTTCCCTGGTGCTGTGAAGTAACTAAATGCAGCTAGATGCTTAGATACCATCAATTGCTAAATGGTCCCTAACCTTCTTACTAATCGCAAAGGGGTTCTATATAAGTTTCAGTTCTTACCAACAAGTTCGTTAGTTTTTGTTTTTTGTTTGTTTGTTGTTTTTTTGAACTAGGAATTGAACTCAGGACCTTGCCCTTGCCAGGCAGGTGCTGTGCCACTAAGCTACATCCCTGGCTAAAATTAATTATTTTCAAAACAATGTTCAAATGTTATTAGAAGGAAACAGCTTCTGATTTAAGAGTTCTGAAGCGAGGCCTGCAATTTTGGGTTTCCAGCAAGCTCCCCTTGATCCCAGGGCTGCTGGGTGGAGGGCTGCACCACTAGCAGTGGAGTTTGCAGGTAGAGTCACTACTGGATCTAATGCTGAAAGTTATGCTGTGCGGGCCATCACTAGACTCTCACTTTATATCATGTGCTTGTTTCTTAAATCATAATAAAGCAATGGACTTTTAAACATGGAGTTACGGCTAGTGGTGTGCTGGTAAATCAACCCGCTCTCTGGGGGAAGAAAAAGGATGCCTATATGTGCATAAATATATTAATTATAAATGCCACTAGGGGCTGGGGATAGAGATCAGTGGTGCAGTGCATACTTAGCATACACAGGGCTCTCAGTTCAATTCCCACCCTCTAAGTAGATAAATAAATGCTTCTGATGTAATGATTGCACAGCAGAAAATTTACAAATAACAATAAAATGTAAAGTATTCCTTATTACAAATTCCACATTGCCAGCTGAGTCTCTCGGAATGCTTCTGTCGGGTTTTGCCGAACTCTTGTATCCACAGCCAGCGTGTGGTACAATTAGCGAAGACTGTAGTTCCCATGTAAGTATTGGCTGATGCTTCCTTTATGTTGATGAGTAAGACACAAGTGAAACAACAGAGCCATATGTCAGAACTGTACCTTTTCAC